CAACTCTCTATTTCAGCCTCTACAATTCTCTATTTCAGCCTCTATAACTCTCTATTTCAGCCTCTACAATTCTCTATTTCAGCCTCTATCATTCTCTATTTCAGCCTCTACAACTCTCTATTTCAGCCTCTACAACTCTCTATTTCAGCCTCTACAATTCTCTATTTCAGCCTCTACAACTCTCTATTTCAGCCTCTACAATTCTCTATTTCAGTCTCTACAATTCTCTATTTCAGCCTCTACAACTCTCTATTTCAGCCTCTACAATTCTCTATTTCAGCCTCTACAATTCTCTATTTCAGCCTCTACAATTCTCTCTACAATTCTCTATTTCAGCCTCTACAATTCTCTATTTCAGCCTCTACAATTCTCTATTTCAGCCTCTACAATTCTCTCTACAATTCTCTATTTCAGCCTCTACAATTCTCTATTTCAGCCTCTACAATTCTCTATTTCAGCCTCTACAATTCTCTATTTCAGCCTCTATAACTCTCTATTTCAGCCTCTACAATTCTCTATTTCAGCCTCTACAACTATTCACCTCTACATTCTCTATTCAGCCTCTACAATTCTCTATTTCAGCCTCTACAATTCTCTATTTCAGCCTCTACAATTCTCTATTTCAGCCTCTACAACTCTCTATTTCAGCCTCTACAACTCCTATTTCAGCTCTACACTCTCTATTTCAGCCTCTACAATTCTCTATTTCAGCCTCTACAACTCTCTATTTCAGCCTCTACAACTCTCTATTTCAGCCTCTACAATTCTCTATTTCAGCCTCTATAACTCTCTATTTCAGCCTCTACAATTCTCTATTTCAGCCTCTACAACTCTCTATTTCAGCCTCTATAATTCTCTATTTCAGCCTCTACTATTCTCTATTTCAGCCTCTACAACTCTCTATTTCAGCCTCTACAATTCTCTATTTCAGCCTCTACAACTCTCTATTTCAGCCTCTACAATTCTCTATTTCATCCTCTACAACTCTCTATTTCAGCCTCTATAATTCTCTATTTCAGCCTCTACAACTCTCTATTTCAGCCTCTATAACTCTCTATTTCAGCCTCTACAACTCTCTATTTCAGCCTCTACAATTCTCTATTTCATCCTCTACAACTCTCTATTTCAGCCTCTACAACTCTCTATTTCAGCCTCTACAACTCTCTATTTCAGCCTCTACAATTCTCTCTATTTCAGCCTCTACAACTCTCTATTTCAGCCTCTACAACTCTCTATTTCAGCCTCTACAACTCTCTATTTCAGCCTCTACAATTCTCTCTATTTCAGCCTCTACAACTCTCTATTTCAGCCTCTCTACAATTCTTTATTTCAGCCTCTACAATTCTCTATTTCAGCCTCTATAACTCTCTATTTCAGCCTCTACAATTCTCTATTTCAGCCTCTATAACTCTCTATAACTCTCTATAACTCTCTATTTCAGCCTCTACAATTCTCTTTTTCAGCCTCTACAATTCTCTCTATTTCAGCCTCTACAACTCTCTATTTCAGCCTCTACTATTCTCTATTTCAGCCTCTACAACTCTCTATTTCAGCCTCTACAACTCTCTATTTCAGCCTCTACAATTCTCTATTTCATCCTCTACAACTCTCTATTTCAGCCTCTACAATTCTCTATTTCAGCCTCTACAACTCTCTATTTCAGCCTCTACAATTCTCTATTTCATCCTCTACAACTCTCTATTTCAGCCTCTACAATTCTCTATTTCAGCCTCTACAACTCTCTATTTCAGCCTCTACAATTCTCTATTTCATCCTCTACAACTCTCTATTTCAGCCTCTACAACTCTCTATTTCAGCCTCTACAACTCTCTATTTCATCCTCTACAACTCTCTATTTCAGCCTCTATAATTCTCTATTTCAGCCTCTACAACTCTCTATTTCAGCCTCTACAACTCTCTATTTCAGCCTCTACAATTCTCTCTATTTCAGCCTCTACAACTCTCTATTTCAGCCTCTCTACAATTCTCTATTTCAGCCTCTACAATTCTCTATTTCAGCCTCTATAACTCTCTATTTCAGCCTCTACAATTCTCTATTTCAGCCTCTATAACTCTCTATAACTCTCTATTTCAGCCTCTACAATTCTCTTTTTCAGCCTCTACAACTCTCTATTTCAGCCTCTACAACTCTCTATTTCAGCCTCTACAATTCTCTCTATTTCAGCCTCTACAACTCTCTATTTCAGCCTCTCTACAATTCTCTATTTCAGCCTCTACAATTCTCTATTTCAGCCTCTATAACTCTCTATTTCAGCCTCTACAATTCTCTATTTCAGCCTCTACAATTCTCTTTTTCAGCCTCTACAACTCTCTATTTCAGCCTCTACTATTCTCTATTTCAGCCTCTACAATTCTCTATTTCAGCCTCTATAACTCTCTATAACTCTCTATTTCAGCCTCTACAATTCTCTTTTTCAGCCTCTACAACTCTCTATTTCAGCCTCTACAACTCTCTATTTCAGCCTCTACTATTCTCTATTTCAGCCTCTACAACTCTCTATTTCAGCCTCTATAATTCTCTCTATTTCAGCCTCTACAATTCTCTTTTTCAGCCTCTACAATTCTCTATTTCAGCCTCTACAACTCTCTATTTCAGCCTCTACTATTCTCTATTTCAGCCTCTACAACTCTCTATTTCAGCCTCTATAATTCTCTCTATTTCAGCCTCTACAACTCTCTATTTCAGCCTCTACAATTCTCTCTATTTCAGCCTCTACAACTCTCTATTTCAGCCTCTATAACTCTCTATTTCAGCCTCTATAACTCTCTGCATTACAACAGTGAGTAAAAACCATAAATTAGTTCAATCATGTTTTCATTTACCCAGCGACTGCAAGAAAGAAAGAAAGAATGATTTGTTGCTTTTCTCAGTTTCTTTGGAGCACAGCTAAATAACAATCACAGGTTTAGACATGTTATCACAACTTAATGCATAAAAAAGTGACATTTCATACTTTTAATCAATGCCAATGTTGATCTAATAAAGTCAACGTGTATTTTTAGCAGCGTGACATTTCCTCTGAAGTGAAACGCCTTCAGATCCTGTGAGAAATGGACCTTTAAAAGCTGTGCAGAGTTTGTAACCTCTTGTTTTGGTGGGGATAAAGCAGCACACACACAAATGCATTGATACACAAACAGGATGTGTGTGTGTGTGTGTGTGTGTGTGTGTGTGTGTGTGTGTGTGTGTGTGTGTGTGCAGATATCACTGATCAGTCAATTCAATAAAAGACGCTAACAGAAACACCCCCTCCACGCTGAGACGACCTCCCGGCCACTGAGGGTTTGTCAAACCAGCATCTTATTTAACTCAAACTAACATGCGTGTGCTTTACGTACGTGCGTACAGTCAATCAGTGCACAGGCTTCATGTTGCAGGATCTTAGCACACTTTCTAAGTATTTACTGACAAACACACACATGAGTGTTTAGTTATATATTGAAACAGCTGGGTGATGATACATGTGAAGATATAAGTCAATGAATCAATACTGAGTGGTGTGTTCTTTACAAACGCACGCTCAGACTCAGTTAGTCAGAGTCTTAGTTTATAAAGATACGGTTGTGCTAAGTCCCTCCAGAGACACAGTTAGTTCAATCACGTCCAAAAGTCAGTTTTAAGACAACGTGTACTACTTCCACTTTTTAAAAAAAAAACAGAGTGCATGCTGGGACTTCAATCAGGATTATCGCTTGATAACTTCCCTTTGAGTTAAATAGTAATATTACAACAATTGTGCGTTTAAAAAAAAGAGAAATATTGCAGTTTTCCTTCTGATATTTCTGCAGAATTAGGAATTCATGATTGGCGTTTGGTTGGAGGAGGGTATTATGGGATAGTTTGAGGGGAGATCATAGATTTTAGACACAAAAAAGTGCATATTTTACATTAAAAAAGTTAAATATTTCTTGTTTTTCCCCCAATATCTCTGCAGAATCTGGCCTTCAATCACGTCCAAAAGTCTGTTTTAAGACAACGTGTACTACTTCCACTTTTCAATCCAACACATTGTACGTGGATGTAAACAAAGCAAAAAAAACAACAACTATTGACAGCAGAGAAACAACAACAACAACAAGGCAGGAGTTCTCCACGTGTCACAGAGGGTTTGAGGCGAAGCAGCAGCTGCGTGTCTTCAGGTGTCAGGAGATGACAGATCACACTTTCTGTTACAACACACAGCTATGCGTCTTCTTGAAGGTAAAGGCTTTCTTTGCCTCAACACACCAGAGAGGGAACATACCAAGATCTGTGTCTCAAACAACACTTCTAAATACTGCTTTTCACTGTACAGTGTTCTACGTGTTTCATTGTGTTGTTGTGACTCACAACTATTTCCTTCAGGATAAATACATCTTATCTCTCGTCTTATCAACAACAACAACTCAACTTGGCTGTTAAATCAGAAAAGCTGCTTCTCAGGGACTTGAACTTCATTTCATACTTTCTTTAGAGGAACAGCTGATTTCAACTCAAACAACCAGAACCCGACCCACAAAGATGAGCCAGAAGAGTCTCTGAGTCTGAGTCTCTGAGTCTGAGTCTCTGAGTCTGAGTCTCTGAGTCTGAGTCTCTGAGTCTGAGTCTCTGAGTCTGAGTCTCTGTATGAGTCTATTAGTGAGTGAAAACCATTGAGTCTCAGGAGTGAGTCTCAACACAGAACCAGCGCCTGAAGAGTCTCTAAACAAGTGGATGGAATATGATATTAGATAAATCATTTGCAGGAGATTTCTATCCAGTTATTTGGGATGTTTTTGAACAAATTCCCTCTAAAATCATCCATTCCTTCAATGTGTGAACTCAGCATTTCTAAAGTTGTGAATGTGCAACCTCAGAACTAATGGATTTCCTTGGAGCGCGTGCACCACACGTTCTCCCAAAGTCTGACACATAACAGCTCCCATGCAGCGGGGGAAGACCTCTCAGCATTACCCGGGATTGTGTCCCTTTGTAGGGGTTAGGATGTGACTCTTCTTACCTTCGATGGCGATGACATGCTCCCGGATCTGGTTCTGCAGCAGCGGCTCCTCCACCCTCTCCAGCAGCTCGTAGATGGAGTAAATGTTGGGGTGCACGGACTCAAACCTCTGGATCTCGGACCGGATCGCGGCCGAATTGGCCAGGTGTTGCTGGTAGTTCATCTCTGCAACTTTTGGGGGTTTGTTTTCAGGTTTTCAGACAAGAAGCAGTGAGTTTCAAAGCATGCTTTCTCCTCCAGGGAACCCAGGGGGAAGTCAGTGTTAGGTCCCAGGTGTTCCTCCTCTACATGCCTGTTGGGTTTGGATTCAGGTGTTCACACAGGAAGCAGTGACCTCCAGGAGTTTGAAATGATGCTTTCTCCCCAGTGTACCCAATGCATTAGTTCCTCTGTGGTGTGTTCTGCGTGACTCCCACTGTACCCTCCTCTACATGCCTGCTGGAAGATGCATCCCCAGTTTCTGCAGCCAACTTTTGATGCGTTTTAATGTAGTATTTCAGAGAGGAAGGTGAAAGCAGTGACCTCCAGGAGCCTCAAATGATGCTTTCTTCTCAGTGTACCCAATGCATTAGTTCCTCCGTGGTGTGTTCTGCGTGAATCCCAGTGTACCCTCCTCTACATGCCTGCTGGAGGATGCATTCCCAGTTTCCAAAGGAGGCAGCAGGCGTCAATACTGGCCAGAGAAGGCAGCTGTTCTCCGGGGAAACTCACTTCCCAGACCCGTGGAGGGTGACAGATGTTCGGCAAGATGAACACCGCTTCTCCATATCCTCCCCAGTCCTTGTGGGGAAAGAAACCAACACTTCCTCTTCTTGAAGTGGTTTTTAACCCGCTTTTAGAGCCAGAAAGTGAGGAGAAAACGGCCTTGATGCTAGGCGGCTAACGGCTAAGCTAACTAGCTGTTTTGTCTCCAGCTGCGCATTAAAACGCTCCTTAATTTAATTTAAAAACCATCAGATCTCAGCGTTTAAGTGGTTAAATGAATCCACATTTCTGTAGTGATGAGGTTATTCCTGAAGGGTCCGGAACACGGAGATGAAACAGTGCGAGGTGGCTCCTTCCCGAGCAGAGCTGAGAAACATCCCGATCACAGCCTCTGTTTCCCGGCTGGAGATTCACTGAAGAGCCGCGGAGGAAACATGCATAGGGAATGATAGAGCTTCCGGTGGGGACCTTTCAAAATAAAACGGGAGGAATTATTAGAAGTGGAACACACTTTTAATGTGTGTGAGTGTGTGTGTGTGTGTGTGTGTGTGTGTGTGTGAGTGAGTGTGTGTGTGTGTGTGTGTGTGTGTGTGTGTGTGTGTGTGTGTGTGTGTGTGTGTGTGTGTGAGAGAGGGAGAGAGAGGGAGAGAGAGAGAGAGGGAGAGGTATTAAAGTGCAGATTTTAGGGTATGTATTGTTTATTTTTTAATTACACTTCATTGCAGATATTAAATAATATACTTTATTTTGACACTTCTCTGAGTTGAAGTTCAGAGAGCACAGCTGACTCAATTTATGATTTTTTTTAATGTTTTAATTGAATTGTTATTACATTTTTTTTTCAATGTGCCTCTTTTATTGTGAAAACCTCTCTGTTTCCGGTCTCCCTCTGTAAACACTTGGCGCAGCGGTTCAGGGAGATACTCACTGCGTGCATGCTGCGCAAAAACGACCCAAACTAATACAAATTGGTGATTTATTTAGGATATTATGAAACTACAGGGTTTATTAAATGTTTTCCTCTTTTAGAATCAAACTGCAAAAGAATCACAACAACATTTCAGTGTTTATTTGCTTTATTTATCCAACTTTGGAGCAACGTAAACACACTCAATTCATTTCTTGCTTAATTAAAAGTATTAATAAAAATATATATATTCCCCCAAAAAATGTATGCTCTTGACATTAAATTAGCTGAAAAAAGTCTAAATCAAAACATAAATAATTTGAATAATTATAGTGTCTGAAAAATTACTAAAAATGATTATTGTTGTTTTTACATTTTCTTTTCTGTTCTGGTGGGTTTAATGTCTCTCTAATCAAAACGCAAGTCAGGGGTGCCCTCTGGTGGTCAGATAATATATTACAGCTCGTAAATGAAATGTATAATAATTTTCATTTCACGTTTTTCTCCCAATTTGAGAAGTCATAAAATACATTTAATACAAACAAATAATTGTAGATATATATCTGCACCTGGGATGTTTAATTAAAGCAACAAAACATATGTAAAAATTACTTAAAATGTTAATTCTGTGTTAAAACCATAGACTGTATATATAAAGGTTATACATGTTCTCACTTTCTGGTGGGTTTAATGTCTCTCTAATCAAAACGCAAGTCAGGGGTGCCCTCTGGTGGTCAGATAATATATTTAGGTGATTATTATTTTCACCTGAAAATTACATTTTAAATCATTTTAATTCCACGTTTGTCTTCCAGATTGAGAAGTAATAAAATACATTTAATTAAAAGAATAATGTAGACATGTATCTGCATATGAGTTGTTTAATTAAAGCATCAAAACATCTGGGAAAATTACTTAAAGTGTTCATTTTGGTGTTAAAACTCACATGTTCTCACTTTCTCGTGGGTTTAATGGACTCTTTAATCAAAGCTAAGTCAGGGGTGCCCTCTGGTGGTCAGATAATATATCACAGCTCGTAAATTAAATGTATAATGATTTAAATGTTACGTTTTTCTCCCGTTTTGAGAAGTATTAAAATAAATTGAATGAAATACAATTATTTTAGATATTTATCTGCCTCTGAGATGTTTGCTTGTGTTATAATTATTGGTACTTTTACCTTCTAAATAAATAAAGAAGCATTGATTTCCACCTATCAGAGCTGGCTATTTTTAAGTAATGCTTCAATCTGAAATATACAATAACAAAAATACATGTACAATTATATAAATACAACAATATATTTACAATTGATTTATTTTTCTTATCCCAAAATATGTCCCCAATTTATTTGATTAAATGGGAATTTCTTTGAAATAAAAACTCTATTTTATTCCAAATAAAAGATAAAAAATAATGTAAATTAAGGTAATAAATTAAATAGAAATGTATGTGATTATATGTGTATTTTTATAACTTTATACATACTTTTAATCCATGTTTTATAATGAAAAATGATGTGTTTACGCATAAAAAACTCCCAAAACCTTCATTTTTTAACATTTCTTTTTATTATGAAACAGAGTGTAGTTTGTCTGCATGGGAAACCCAAACATGGAGTAAAGTGTCTTCAAGAAGAAAGAGAGTGATTTAAATAGCAGATTCCCTTTTAAACGTGATGGTTCATGGAGTGACGAGTGAAGCAGCGGAGCGTCAGGAATGTGGAAAAAATATATACTTTAAGGCACAAAATCTCCTCCTTTGGGAAATACTCTGCTCTGATTGGTTAGCTTGGAGAAGTCCCGCCCCCTTAGCCTATATCATGTGTCGGAGCGCTAGCCAATAGGAGCGTAGTGACGTCACCGTGCTCCAGAACTTTGGGGTTTTAGCCTCTGCAGACCGTTGACATGCACACAAACACAGCACAATGAGGCCTCAGCAGAATGAAGGTTTCTTTTTACAGCGTTTGGCCAAAAGTCAACGGACATATTTCGGTATTTCTGATCCGATTGAGGCTCCTCTGAAGCGTGCACTCATTGCTTATCTGCAGATCCAATATCCGGGCATGAGAAACTCAAATAAAGTGGACTTTTGGAACGAGCAACGATTCGTCTCTGATTTCTAGTCATATTTTCTGGTCGCTGAGTTTTCTGCCCGACGACACGAACCCAAGTGTCCGTTTACTTTTGGCCATGAATTTGAGGCAGGAGACAGGAAGTGACCTCACACACAGGTACATAGATTTGGCTTTTATACATGTGCAGGTGAGAGGAAGTGTTTCCTCTTCCTGTTAGAGTCCGTCTGACTTCCTGTTAGAGGAGGCAGCAGTGCTTCTTCTTCTTCTTTCCGCTCGGACCGTTCTTGTCTTTGCAGTCGGCCATTTTCTTCTTACGCACCTCCCTCATCAGGTCGAAGAACACCTGGAGACACAGGTGAGGAGGGGGGGTCAGTAGGTGAGGAGGGGGGGTCAGTAGGTGAGGAGGGGGGGTCAGTAGGTGAGGAGGGGAGGTCAGTAGGTGAGGAGGGGGGTCAGTAGGTGAGGAGGGGGGGTCAATAGGTGAGGAGGGGGGGTCAATAGGTGAGGAGGGGGGGTCAGTAGGTGAGGAGGGGGGGTCAATAGGTGAGGAGGGGGGGTCAGTAGGTGAGGAGGGGAGGTCAGTAGGTGAGGAGGGGGGGTCAATAGGTGAGGAGGGGGGGGTCAATAGGTGAGGAGGGGGGGTCAATAGGTGAGGAGGGGGGGTCAGTAGGTGAGGAGGGGGGGTCAGTAGGTGAGGAGGGGGGGTCAATAGGTGAGGAGGGGGGGTCAGTAGGTGAGGAGGGGGGGTCAGTAGGTGAGGAGGGGGGGTCAGTAGGTGAGGAGGGGGGGTCAGTAGGTGAGGAGGGGGGGTCAGTAGGTGAGGAAGGATTGATGAGTGTGTGTACCTTGTCTACGTTGGCTCTTGTTTTGGCGGAGGTCTCTACGTACTGCACGCCCCATTCTGCCGCCCGATTGGTCGCCTCTTCAGCGGAGACCCGCCTCCTTTCCTCCAGGTCAGACTTATTTCCCACCAATAGGAGAGGGATGCTGTCCTCCTCTTTCACCCTGAGGATCTGCTCTCTACACACACACACACACACACACACACACACACACACACACACACACACACACACACACACACACACACACACACACACACACACACACACACACACACACACACACACACACACACACACACACACACACACACACACACACACACACACACACACACACACACACACACACACACACACACACCACACACACACACCACACACACACACACACACACACACACACACACACACACACACACACACACACACACACACACACACACACACACACACACACACACACACACACACACCCACACACACACACACACACACACACACACACACACACACACACACACACACACACACACACACACACACACACACACACACACACACACACACACACACACACACACACACACACACACACAGCTATTGTTGAGTCAGATGTCTTTCTGTTGAGTTGTGTTTCTTGTAATCTCAATTTATAAGTCAGTTTTTTTAAATATAATTGATGCCTAAACCTTTGATAATAGACCTTTAAAGAGTTCCTGTTCGTGGCGTCCGTACCTGAAGTCTGCGGTGGCGCTGAAGGACTCGTGCTCGGTGATGGAGAACAGCAGCAGGAAGCCCTCTCCACTCCTGAAATAATTGTCCCTGATGGCGGCGTAGTCCTCCTGTCCCGCCGTGTCCAAGATATCGATCTGAACGTCTTCCCCGTCCAGGACCACCTTCTTCCTGTAGCTGTCGGCCTTCGTGGGCTCGTAGTCCTCCACGAACTGGAAGAGGACGAGATTAATCACATGATTTATACAATTATCTTTTACCAGAGTATTTTTAAACACGAGTATCTGTACTTCTACTTGAGTGAAGGATGTGTGCCCCAGTGGCTGATGGGTAATGTAGTTCAGGGTCTCACCTCGTCGTACATGAACTGTAAGGTGAGGGCGGACTTCCCGACCCCCCCGCTGCCCACCATGATCACTTTATGAAGCGCCAGAGACGTCTGGTTCTTATTCTTCCCCGACGCCATTCTGACCAATCAGAGCCGCTGAGGAAATACACAAATAGACAAATATAAATTAATACATTTAAATATATTTATTCAGTCATTCATATTTTTAAAAACCTCCTGGATATGTGCATGCTCTAAAGTATTTTTAAAAAGCTTATTTTCAATTAAAATAAATCCTAGAAATTTAAAATATGTTCATTTCAGGTTATGATAATCAGCAGCCAGCTAAGTGATGATTAAAATGTGTCTCCATTTTAATATTTAAGCAGTCATTAATATTTTTAAAAACCTCCTGGATAATGTGCATGCCCTAAATTATTTTTAGAAAGCTTATTTTCCATTCAAATAAACTAAGAAATGTTAAATATATTAATTTAAATTATACTTACCAAGCTCTTAAAGCACTTTACAACAGGCCTGTAACAGAGATGTGTTACACATGTTATTAACCTGACAATAACAGTGATTACACACTTATTAAACATCTATCATGTGTTAATTATATTCATTTTAGTGCAATAATCTCATTTATTTCAGGGAGAAAATGACATTTAACCTAGTCAAATATTTACATGTATTCTAGTGCATTAAATACATTGATTTTATGCATTAATAACGTGTATTCTGGTGCAAAATGTGTCTTTAATGAATGGTTTGCATGTTTTTGCAGGACTTTATCTCAGAATGGAGTATTTTAAGTGTTTTATGAGTACTTTTTCTGCAGATAAATACCTGCATACTTGTCCCAGCACTTACACCCTCCTCTAATAGAGTGTGTAGGTGATAAAGAGCCACTGTAAACACACACACTGCGGTGGAAACACACACTGTGAGTGGACACACACACACACACACACTTCACAGTGACCTTTATGGCTGTAATGCGGGCTGCAAGGACAATAACATGAGGGCAGAAAGGGAAAATATGACCTGTTTTTACTGTAAAAGCAAGCTGGATAACCCCGAGTCATGTTGGCAGTGAAGCAAATAAGAAATGCATGAGTAGTTAGGCTGTTTGAGTAAAAGAGGAACTATATTTCATGTTCCTCTCTGCAACACCAGCTGACATATCAACGAGTTTCTACAAGACACTACACAGCCACTACAAGCTCCCGCCTCCTGCCTGCCTCTGATTGGCTCATACTCCCCTATCTCGCTCCCTATTGGCTGCTGGCGGTGTCACTCACTAACTGATAGCTAGCCGCGATAGATAACGCTTTAGGCGAATTCAGAGAAAACTGCCTTAAAACGTAACGTAGAAAGTTCAAAGCTGGTTTAAACAACGCGGAATACGTGTCGGAACTCACCTGCTAACGTGTTGTGGTGGCTGTAGCTAAGGAATCCGCCATAAACTGAGAAAAACACAAACTTTTTACAAGTTAAACGGGAGATTCTGCCGCACCTTGTACAGGGACTCAAACAAAGATCATGTGTTACAACAAGAGGAGTGACTCTGTGGTTAAAAACGAAGCCAGGAACAGCGCCTGGAGTTATTTATTCCTTCTAATAAAACTATAAAGAAATACAGTGAATCAATACTATTTGTAGTAGGTTGGTTAGTTAGACAACATGTACTTCAAATGTAGTCATATCAGATTTAAAATACGGCTTTTACAAACAGTTCACGGCTTTATGGACTCGGGAAACAGACGCGGAGTGATACATCATACCTTTTCCTCTGATCTTTGATAACGTTAACCGGATGTGATGTCACGGAATTCCTTGTATTCCTTTAAATTGAGTTTTGTATTGGTTTTAACTTAACAACCATAGTTATAATTATACTATTTTTAAAAGGAGAAAAAAATATAAGTGATAAACAATTAAATTATTAAAAATGGACTTTGAATATAAATGTTTTTCTTGAAATTATTATGATTATATTTAACATACCAAAAATGTAAATAATAACCCTAAAAAAGTGGATGCGTTGAGAACTGTATAAAAAATCAAAGTATAAATTAATAAAATAAATAAATGGAGTAATAGGACCAGAGTATAATTAATTTTATCAACAATTTAATACATTTGCAATATTTATGGGGTAAAATATAATATAAAAAATGTGATTTATACAGATTTCACCTACCTGTAGTTTCACTGTTTGTCCCGCAGATGGCGCCATTTCCTCACTTTCGCCACTGCTGTTAAACAGATATATATTGTCTGTATACAATGAGGTTAAATAACTACATTAAACACCCCTGAATTTCCCTTTAAAACACCTCAAAAGTGACTTAAAGTTATAAATATGTTCTTTTATTGCGCCTTTAATTATATTATACCTTTAATTATATTATAATTAAATTATACGTGTTTATTATCCCTGTCGACGGTAAGAATTTGGTTTTATTTGCATGGTGTTATGAATAAAATTAAATAAACCCGGGTCACATGATGAGGGCCTCTTCGGCCTCATGTTGTTTTAGGTTATGATAATCAGAGGTCAGAGGTCAGCTCCGCGTCTCCAGTTGCTCATTTGGTTTTTCTGAGTTTCTCGAACAAATGCTTTTGTGGTTTTTCGTCTCAAATTGAGGGACTTTTGACTCGAAAAACTCAGGTTGTTTCCATATTTGAGGGCTTTCAGAGGATTAGAAGCAGCTAAAATACAAAAGTGATGTTTAAAACGTGTCTCCTGTGGTATTTAGGGACTTTTATTTTTGAAATATCAGTCATTTACCTTAAAGATTGTGTTTAAATGTTGCCAAAAACACATTAATCTCAGTTTATTTGCATATTTTGAGTCTTTTTGAGATTTAAAAGCAGGTTAAATACAGCAAAGAGTGTTAATACATGTCTCATTCAGCATTTAGGGACTTTTATTCTGAAATATCAGTGATTTATTTGCTATAAACACACACAGGCTCAGGTTAATTACATATTTAGAGTCTTTTTTAGGATTATAGATAATAGATCAATTAATACAATGAGTGTTATTGATCATGTCCTGCAGGTGACTTTTATTCTGGTGTTTATTACATGTCCTTTAAAGATTATAATTTACTTTTGGTCACTGAACCCTTTTCTATAACAGCATGTCACTGTGATTGGTCCTAAGGTCACTTAGCCCCGCCCCCTTTCTCTCTTTAACCCCTATCCATCTGCTAATTAAAGGATCCCAAAAGTCTAATTAGTGACAAAAAGAAGCACATTTTGTCTCTAAACAGGGTTTTTTGGGGGTCTTTACAAGTGATTGGTCCTGGGGGAGTGTCACGAAGCCCCGCCCCCTCTCTTAAGCCCCGCCCCCTGACTTTGGCCCCTGTATATAAAAGTTTCCTCTCAGTTTTGGGGATGTGAGTGTCAGAGGCAGCATGGAAACACCTCCCTGTGCAGAGGAGGAACAACATGGAGTCACTTTCATCTGGAAGGACCAGACTGCTCCTTCTGCTGCGGGACGGGATGCTGTGAGGAGAGACACCGTTTAACCCGGGATACTGAGGACCATAACTCGGGATAAACCTGGGATAAACCTGGGATACAGAGGACATCAGAGACCCTGCACACAGAGGATATATTACCCGGGATAAAGATAGAATACTGCAGGAAGAAAGAGGACCAAACAACCCTGCAATAAGAGGACAGATAACCCGGGATAAAGAGGACAGATAACCCGGGATAAACAGTGAGGAAAACCGGGATAAAGAGGACCATATAACCCGGGATAAAGAAGGACTAAAGTCGGGTAAAACAGGACATATACCCGGGGGGAAAGTGTGAGAAAACTCGGGAGTAAAGAGGACATATAACCCAGGTTCAAAAGTGAATCTAACCCGGGATAAAGGGAGAGAAGACACGGGATAAAGAGGACATCAAGTCGGGATAAGGAGCGTTTATACCCCGGGATAAAGAGCCTTTCTAACCCGGGTTAAAGCGGACCGCAGCGCCATGTGAGCGCAGTGTTTGGATCTTTACATCTACAGAAACTCAGAGAAAGTTTCCTCTTCTTCTTCTCTCGGAAAATGAGCATCTGTTTCTTCCGCCTCCTCGCTCTCTTCGTGGCTGCCGCGTCACTGCGCACCGTTGACGCGTCACTGCGCGCCGCTTCTGCCGCGTCGCTGGACAGCTGCGCGTCGTGCGGCGTCGACGCGGCAGCGGTGCGCAGTGACGCGGCAGAAGCGGCGTTGCTGCGCGGAGACTTTCTGGAGGCGGTGAAAGCGGCACATCCTCACGCGCCTGCAGATGCGCGAGAGACCCAACATAACGCACCCGGTGTCGCGCGCTGCCATGGTGACGGCGCTGCGCAAGCTGCACGCGGGGAAGGTGCGCGAGGACGGCCGCGTGGAGATCCCCAACCTGGACGGGCACGCGATGAGCAACGAGGTGCACGAGGACTCCGAGATCATCAGCTTCGCGGAGAGAGGTGCGGCATGAAGGATACATGGAGTTTATATGGGAGACATGTGACTTTATTACATTTTAAACACTAATGTTCTTAAATATAACTCCACAAAAGACAAGATAGGGTGACAGAGAGATAGATGTCCCACTCTAAGCTCCATTTATTCAGGAACATTAGGGAATACATTGGTTTATATGGAGAAATATGTCATTTTAACCGCCGACTTACACCTGAAAAGTGTGGAAAATAACATTTAACACACATTTGATTATAAATAACATTTGATTATAAAAAACATTTGATTATAAATAACTCCAAAAAAGACAAGAGTTCTCACTTTAGGAGAATTTGAGGTAAAACATGATTTTAATTCAGAAATCTGTCATTTAACCTTCAACAAAAGACCAGATGACCCACCTGTATGGTCAACTGATTCAAGAGAATTAAAAATGTTAAGAATAATAGTGAGAAAGGTTAGATTATTGCGTTGTTCTGTGTGCATTTAAAGCTTCCTGCAGAAAGAGGAAAGCTGTGATTACTTGTTGTAAAGAAGTATGTAGATTTTGATGCGCGTCAAAGGGAAGTCTCCTTGCAGGATCAAAACGGAGAAAATCCTGTATTTTAACCCTCATTTTATTTAAAAACCCACAGCATTTAGTCTGGAACAGTTGCATCAAGTTGTGAGAAAGAACATTATTTAGTGGTTTTCAGCTTTTTATACAGAAAATAAGATTGAATCCAAGGTGTCTGTGCAGCTGAGTTAGTCTTTGCAAGGAGAAGTGATGCAGGAGCTGGTTTGAGTTGAAAGTGCATCATATCTCCTCCTGAAAAGCACCTGAGAGTCGGCCTCAGGTCATCAGGGAGAGCAGACTCTGGGTGAGGGGAATGGGAATACAAGTGAGTTTTCTTTGGGCTTTATGGCTCTCTGGGGGAGCGTAAAGGGAGACAGGACACTTGTTGTACTCTGTGAAATACAATATCAGGTGTGTGTGTGTGTGTGTGTGTGTGTGTGTGTGTGTGTGTGTGTGTGTGTGTGTGTGTGTGTGGCAGTCTTTATGTGCTGCGGCTGAACGAGACCCAGACAACGAGCTGATGGTGAACAGATGTTGAAAGCCCCGCCAAAATACAAGCGTGTGTGCATACAGCTGATCCCGTCTGTCATCACCTTCACAGAGAGTGTGTGTGTGGTGTGTGTGGTGTGTGTGTGTGTGTGTGTGTGTGTGTGTGTTATCTGAGGGTATTGTAGAGTGTGTGTGTGTGTGTGTTATCTGAGGGTATTGTAGAGTGTGTGTGTGTGTGTGTTATCTGAGGGTATTGTAGAGTGTGTGTGTGTGTGTGTTATCTGAGGGTATTGTAGAGTGTGTGTGTGTGTGTGTGTGTTATCTGAGGGTATTGTAGAGTGTGTGTGTGTGTGTGTGTGTTATCTGAGGGTATTGTAGAGTGTGTGTGTGTGTGTGTTATCTGAGGGTATTGTAGAGTGTGTGTGTGTGTGTGTTATCTGAGAGTATTGTAGAGTGTGTGTGTGTGTGTGTGTTATCTGAGGGTATTGTAGAGTGTGTGTGTGTGTGTGTGTTATCTGAGGGTATTGTAGAGTGTGTGTGTGTGTGTGTGTGTTATCTGAGGGTATTGTAGAGTGTGTGTGTGTGTGTGTGTTATCTGAGAGTATTGTAGAGTGTGTGTGTGTGTGTGTGTTATCTGAGAGGTATGTAGAGTGTGTGTGTGTGTGTGTGTTATCTGAGGGTATTGTAGAGTGTGTGTGTGTGTGTGTGTTATCTGAGAGTATTGTAGAGTGTGTGTGTGTGTGTGTGTGTGAGTGTGTGTGTGTGTGTGAGTGTGTGTGTGAGTGTGTGAGTGTGTGTGTGTGGTGTGTGTGTGTGTGATGTGTGGTAGTGTGTGTGTGTGTGTGCGTGAGTGTGTGTGTGTGTGAGTGTGTGGGTGTGTGAGGTGTGTGGTGTGTGTTGTGTGTTGTGTGTGTGTGTGTGGTGTGTGTGTGTGTGGTGTGTGTAGTGTGTGTGTGGTGTGTGTGTGTGTGTGTGTAGTGTGTTGTGTGTGTGTGTGTGTGTGTGTGTGTGTGTGTGTGTGTGAGTGTGTGGTCTAAAGGTAGTGTTCTTGTCTGTAGGGCTGCAGCTCAGTTTTGTTTTGTGTGTCAAACGTTAGAAAATAGTGAAAATGTGCCGCTGACGTCTTTAAAAGTCTTGTTTTGTCACTTTTTTTATATGAAATAGAGAAAAGCATCAAATCAACAGGTTTTAGAGGACATATAATTCACAGACATTTTAAATGGAGCATGACTTCTCGCTGCAGTTCGGACGATCCATCAACAACCGTTTGGTGCAGGGAGATGAAGCATGCTCAGATTTGAGGTTTCTTTCACGGTGCATTAAAGTGCTTGATATAAAGTTGGACATCTGAACATCCAGGCCCCCCACTCGCCGTGTTGTGTTCACTTGTATCCCCAGTTTAAAGAGGCGAACAGCATCTGAAGACATTTGGCATGAGAGATCAGATGAAGCCGTTTCTTTTAAGTTGCATTTAAGCACTTGATAGAAAGTTGGACATCAGGCCTCCCACCGCAGGGGGTCTTTCAGCCTCAGATGTTGCTCTGCAGGCTGCAGACCCTCAGACAAAACTCAGGGCAACACACACACACACACACACACACACACACACAGACACACACACACACACACACACACACACACACAGACACACACACACACACACACACACAGACACACACACACACACACACACACACACACACAGACACACACACACACACACACACACACACACACACACACAGACACACACACACACACACACACACACACACACACACACACTGAGGAAACCTGGCATTATTCAGACCTTAAATATTAAAGTATTCCCAGTCCAGAGGCTCTTATAGCTTCTGTGTGTGTGTGTGTGTGTGTGTGTGTGTGTGTGTGTGTGTGTGTGTGTGTACGTGTGTGTGGGTGTGTGTGTGTGTGTGTGTGTGTGTGTGTGTGTGTGTGTGTGGGTGTGTGTGTGTTGTGTGTGTGTGTGTGTGTGTACGTGTGTGTGGGTGCATGTGTGTGTGGTGTGTGTGTGTGTGTGTGTGTGTGTGTGTGTGTCTGTGTGTGTGTGTGTGTGTGTGTGTGTGTGTGTTTCCCCTCAGTATAAGGTCAGAGCTTTTGTGTCGGCCGTCGCGCAGCCTGCATGCAGATTGACGCCATTACCATTCAGTGTGTGTTTGTGTGTGTGTGTGTGTTTGTGTGTGTGTGTGTGTTTGTGCGTGTGTGTGTGTGTGTGTGTGTGTGTGTGTGTGTTCTTACATCATCTTAAACACTCAAAGCGGTTGCAAAATGTCTGAATTTCAGCAAAAAACCCTGATTTTAAAGGTTTTTTTTCGACTAAATTCCGGCTTTAACTAGCGACACATTATGGGATGCATGCTTCACATTCTGTCCTGCAGCACAGAGCGTTTATTTATCCGCCTCACTAAACACTGGTCACCAGAAAGAAATCAAAACCTAAATATTTGCGTAATTGAACATCAAGTCAGTTTCAACAGCTGCTGCCGCTTCATGCTGACTCTGCACAATTCAGTTTCAGGGCATTGAGCAGTGATGGAGAAAAGAGAGAGTGCAGATCAGATATATAACAATACTACTAATAATATCAAAATAATCTCATCTCCTGATTTGAATTGAAATGAAAACAGCGTGAGAGTTGTATCGCTGCCCCCTGCAGAGCGTGCACCTGCAGCAGCGTGTCCTGAGTAATGACTATCAGGAGATGGAAGAGGGGAAACATGTGGAGGCACGACTTGGAAAACACCTCGTGATCGACGCCTCAAAACTCCACGTTTCTGCTTCAGCGAATTCACGAGACATCTCTGCAGGATTTGAGGAGATTTAGTCGCTTTTCGAGTCGTGTTTCTCTCAGGATGTTTACAACCCAACATCAAAACCTTCTGCTCCTTAATGGGAGCTCTGGCTTCAGAAAGACTCACAATGAGAGACCAGTACGAGCAAATAAACACGGGTAAAAGCAGCCGTTCATTAGCTGAGGGAAAGTCTGATTAAACCATCAGATCATCTGACGCACACTATTGGACATTGCAATCTCCTTTTTGCTTTAAAACTTTAAAATACTACTTTGTTTGAAGGTAAGTGCATCAGCCTGCTGCACGTTGAGATCAAGATGAACGGTGCACAGCGTGGGGCTTTTGTAACTGGCTTTGTTCTCCAGCACACTATCTAATCACAAAGACGCTATGGACACAAACGGTGTTGAGAACAAGTCACTCCCACAGCGGAGGAAACGTCAGTATTGATCGTGATCCTGCCACGGCTCGGTCTCATAATGAAGACGTTGAGGGATGATTCCAGAAAGTGTCCGAACACCTCGGCTGCCCCCCCCCCCCCCCCCCCCCTCTCTCTCCAAACCCTTTAATCGCTCCACCAATGAGCCGATGCCCGCCAAAATAAAAGCCTCTGAGCATTTGCAGCCTGCCACGGTTTCTGAGAAGCAGCCAGTGTGATGGAAATGCTTTCCCTCGCTTCTCCATTCTCTCCGATTGTTGCCGCCTCTCCCTCTCTCTCTTTGTGAGGAAGCAGAAGATCTCATTTTCAGGCAGCACAACAGAGCCTTTGAACCTTTGTGCAACGCTCTTTTAACCCCCCCCCCCCCCCTGCCTCTAAACTTCTAGTATTTGGGCCAATTTGGAGGCCAAGTGGCTCGATGCCCAGCGCTTCCTGTCACAGTGCTGCCACCCTCAACTGGTGTCGCACTTTAATCTGTCCCCAAGTGTTTGCAAACATCTTCACAATGAGCACCGTGACCAAAAACTGGATTTAAATACCCCCCCCCCCCCAGTTCGTGCAATTCAGTTCAATTCCTGGAGATTTCTTGGGCGTGATCCAAAGTGAATGTTTGCAAACATCTTCAAAATGATTGTATTTGAATGCCTCAGATGATCCGTTGTTGGTGTTTGGTTAGAGTTCGGTTACGTCTTCAAAGTGTTGAGCGATTGTCCGCCGATCAGTTCTCAGCCACACCAGCTGATCCTCTGTAATCTGCAGAGTTATAGACGTGTTAGAAAACCGTCAGAAACCAAAGCTATCTGACAAATGCAAAGTGAATTACAGAAGATATCAGACAATGAAAGACTTCTTTGAATAATCAGATCAGATGAAAAGTGTCCGAATGTTAGAGTGTTCTTGGTGACTTTATTAACGATGACCCCCTGTGTTCTTTACACGTAAAGCTTCTAGCCAATCAGAAGGGTGGGGGTTCAATTCCTGGAGTTGTATTGGGCCAGATCCAATGAATGTGGACCTTCAAAGTGATTGTATTGAAATGCCCCAGATGATCCGTTGTTGGCGGTTGGTTAGAGTTCGGTTAAGTCTTCAAAGTGATTTTCCACCAATCAGTTCCCAGCCACTAAAGTCTGAATGTTAACGTGTTCTTGGTGACTTTTTTAACAATGACCCCCTGTGTTTTTGCTCCTCAGACGACACGTTGACCTCCAAGACCAGCCTGTTCTTCTTGATCTCCAGCGAGGGGAACCAGAACCTCTTCGTGACGCAGGCCGTCCTCTGGCTCTACTTCAAGCTGCTTCCTTCTCCTCTGGAAGTCCGTCCGCGGCGCAAAGTCACCGTGAAGGTTTACTTCCAGGAGCCGGGCCTCGGCAGCAAGTGGAACCTGGTGGAGAAACGCGTGGATCTGAAGCGAAGCGGCTGGCACACCTTCGTGCTAACGGACGCCGTGCGGCTGGTGTTTCAAAAGGGCGATCGGCGGCAGAATCTGGACGTTCGCTGCGAGGGTTGCGAGTCCGAAGGCGTCGTTCCGCTTCTTCTCAACAACAACGACGAGTCGCATCGCCCATTCCTCGTGGTGCAGGCGCGTCAAACCGACAGCAAGCATCGCATCCGAAAACGAGGGCTCGAGTGCGACGAAAGCAGCGGTCTTTGTTGCCGACAGCAGTTCTACATCGACTTCAGGCTCATCGGATGGAACGACTGGATCATCGCGCCCTCGGGGTACTTTGGGAACTACTGCGAGGGGAACTGTCCGGCGTACATGGCGGGCGTTCCCGGGTCGGCGTCTTCTTTCCACACGGCCGTGGTGAATCAGTACCGGATGAGAGGCATGAGTCCAGGGTCCATGAACTCCTGCTGCATCCCCACCAAGCTCAGCACCATGTCCATGCTCTACTTCGACGACGAGTACAACATCGTGAAGAGAGACGTTCCCAACATGATCGTGGAGGAGTGCGGCTGCGCCTGAAAGAAGAAGAAGAACTTATTAATCCCTCACAGGGACATTTCTTTCTTTCTCCACTCTGTTGTGCTTTTACACACACAGAGGAGGACACACACACACACACACACACACACACACACACACACACACACACACACACACACACACACACACACACACACACACGCAGAGCAGAGAAGTTGCCAGTTTTCCGGCGCCAAGGGAGCAGTTTCGAGGTTAGGTGCCTTGCTCAAGGGCACCTCGGCAGTGGCCTATAAGGTGTGATACCCTGTAAGGCTCACTCCATTTTTTTGTTTTGGTCCGATCGGGACGTGAACCAACGACCCTTCAGTTCCAAGATCAAGTCGGACTGAGCCACTGCCGCCTCCAAAAAGGACTTCATTACGACAAACGAATATAGAAGATATTTATGGACGATGGAGAAAGCGCACACACAACCTCATGGACACGTATCTACGCACCCTCATGTACGCCTGCACAGAAACTTGTATATATATTTATGTTTGTTGATATATTTCGTTATATTCTCTGGTTGGAAGACGGTTTCCGAGTCCTTCAAAAGGGACGTTCTCTTCCAAATCTTTAAATACAATCAAGTTCTTCATGAGATATCTGTGAGATAGTGAGGACTGATGTAACCTAGCCTTCACAGAGCATGTTCGAGGAGGTAGATTTGGGATGAAACTCTTCACCCAACCAGAGGAGCCTTAACGGAGTCACAACAGTTGGGCTTTGATTCGACAATGACTCTTTAAAGAGCAACAAACACGCGGTACAAGCACTGAAGATGTTAAAACATCAGTCAACCAACGTACAGCACTTCTTCTGGTCACGAGTCACATTGAAATACAAGCTGATACCAATCTTTCCAAACACAGAAGGAAACTGTAGAGACTTTTCCACTGTCGCTGATCAAATCCTCAAATCTAGAAAGGTAGACTAAAGGGAGAACTGGGAATTTGAAAAGGTTGTTTTTCTGATCGCTGGTTTCCATCATCTTCAAACTTTATCGACCAAGAGCAAGCTTGACACTTCTGGTAATTTGTGAAATCAATATTCTTATTTCTACATCCAACATTAAGGGATTTGCAGCCTCAGAATAATAGATATTCTTGGAGCATGTCTTCTTTTCAATTACAAAAGCGTGCACCAAGTTTCTCCCAAAGTTTGACACGTTCAGATTTGCACTTGGCATCTTGTTGCCGACCACAAAAGAGCAAATTGGTCGAGAACGTTTTGCCAAGAAAGTGTTTCCCCGCAGGAATCTGAGGCTTTCCAACACAGACCACATGTGGGCTGAAACCAGGGAACACAAGGCACCATCCAAACCACAAATGGTTCCCGACGTTATAAACGTGTCCTGGGTCCCGTCAGAGGTCTCAGATTGGCGTCCAAACTTCCTCTTTGGTCTCAAGGAACGCCATCTTCCAGAAACTCTTTCATAGCGTTCCCAACACACGGAGATGATGGAAACAAGTCAGGAGTAACCTCGCATTTATCCAATTTAGTTTAGATATTCCCAGAAACCCTTCAGAGTCCTTCCAGTCGATCCAATCAGTGAAGAGTTGCCATATTGCTCCGTTTCCCCGACCACACTTTGATAGCACTTGCAGATTGAAATGCCTTTTGAACGAGCCCACAGTCCTTGTAAAAGAAATAAGTGCCGCATGAGCTATGCAATGTATAGTATTTACCATTTACACACACCAATACTTGAAATGTTAGTGTTTGTAAGCGAGCGGGTCGGCTTTGGACAGCAGGAGGCAGAGTTTACTTTAAATAAAATGTGTTTCTAGTTAACTATGTACTGATTCAGCTCCACTTCAAATGTATATTTCCAACAAAAAGCATTTAAAAAAAGCCTCTTTCCATTCGGTTTGTAGTGAAAATCAACCCTGAAATGTACATTATTATGACACAAAATGTTTTTTCCCAATTATATTCTGAAGAAAATGTAATTTTTGATGGTGTTTCCAGTCTTTGAAACAATGCCTTTACAGTGAATGATCTCTGGTGCATTGCAATTCTTTCTAAAAGCATTGGTTGTTGCATACAATAAGGGTACAGGGTTGGAGGAATGGTGCGTCTGGTGCAACATAAAGTATATTTTGATATGCATTTTAAACAGAAATGGCAGCTAGAAGTGACTTCTTGCAAATACAGTTAAAATATTTAAGAGCAAACCAAGAAAATATGTTTTTTTTCACATATAATTATTTTGTTTTGCAATAATTTGACCCGTAACTGGTGACAATTTGCTCACAAGCCAAAATGTGTTGGATTCTAAAAAGTAATATGGAATAAAATAAAGTCACTTTAGGCTGGCATTGATGTTAGGAATAGAGCAGAAATCCTACTTTATAGTGCACTATTTCTGTTAAAAAAATGCAATAATAGTGAATATGGAATAAACCATTAGTTCTCCTATGCAATCATCAATTAAAACCTCATTAGAGAATATACAAATAATAGAAAATGTCGAAACAACCTGGTATAAAAGTGTCTTTGACCCTGTTTGATTGGGATAGAGCTTTTATAGATTAGAACAGTGATAATTCCTCCCTCCTTTATGCAATCATGTATTGAATCTGTGAAATATGAAAGCAGGCTAACTGGGGCTAACGTTGACCCAGATGTGCTGCATGATTTTCTTTTTTGCTCCCAGTGGAGTTTTCAGTTCGGCCCCGAAACACACTTAGAGACACACTTTCAGTCACTTTGATATTTGCAGGTTAGACGCATCACTCCGTTATCAGCGCTGCAGAGAGCTGGGACCATCTTTCAAACGTGGAGACGAGCACCAAGATGTCAAAGCCCAGGAAAATGCTCATTTACGACAGAATCTGATCAATTTCAGGGATTTAGGTTCTGAATGACATGTGTTTGACTATTGGGACGCCAAAGGTACAATTTAGAAGCTTATCCAGAGCTTTTCTGGGTCATTTTAAACACAAAATGTCACATTTGGGAGCTTATTAGAAAGCTTTTGGGACACTAAACCACACCAATGCTAATGCTAGTCTTGATAGCACCAGTTCTACCTTTACTACTACGCTAACCAAGGCTACCCATGGCTCAGAAATGGTCAAAAGAAGCGTCTGAGTTATTCCTGACGTGAATTTGGTTTCTAGGTGATCAGAAATGCGTTATTTGACAACAAGAAGTGATTTTACAGAAAAAAGATGACATTTCCAAGCCACCATTTTGTTTTTTGAGTCTTTAACGGGGCAGTCCTTTTATCCACTTTTGAAAGATTGACCTGGTATATTAACTATTCGCAGCGCTATATATTCTGCTTATATATAATATAATATATATAATCAGTAACTCCGCCTCCTGCCGACCCCGCCTGCCTCTTTAATCGTTGCTTGTTAGAGTATTTGCACTGTGGAGCTAGTAATAAGAGTAAATAGAAACTGCCATTGATGAAAAAAGTTATTTTTATAGAAGCTAAATTGAGTATTATACCTAATAAAGGAACCAAAGAGGCCGTTAGCTCTGGAGGCCTAAACACTGTATCAGGGTATAATATCACTCCATAATCAGCCTCCTCTCTTTTCTATTTTATACCTAGAATACATGGAATATTGCATATTTTTTCATGGAATTACTTAAATAATATTCCTAGTGTTTTCCTGTGTTGTTAGCATGTTAGCACGTCCTGTACAGCTGTAACATACCGACATGCTTTCTGAGATACTCTGTCCTTTGTTATTGTTGGGAAATAAATGTCTTATTACCAATCGTTGGGTCTGTTGTCGTTCCTTCTTTTAAGACGTCAGGACACGTTTGAACCTGAGAGGGAATAACAATAATTATCTCACAGTGTTGACATATAATAAAGATTTTGACGCCCCAAAACAGAGAGGTCTCATGGTGGATTTGATGTAGAAAACACTTCATTATTCACACATTAATGAGCAACAAATGACATTAAAGTTGGGGTAGGTAAGTTTGAGAAACCGGCTCGAGATACACTTTGTGTTATATTCCATGGAATGCTCTTAACATCCGATAGCAATGAATATCTGAAGTGTTTTGACAAAAAATCCATTAAATAAATATCATCTGTGGAAGCTGTAGTACTGTAAAAAGCACGACCAATCATCTGAGCCGGCCCGGCTAAAATAACTGGATGGCCTACCTGCCTGTCAGCCTTCCATCTGTGCACAAACTTACCTCGTGCCCTCATTGGTCATGTGCGCGTTCGTGTGTGTTGGAGGAGGGGCTCTGTGAGGAAGTGGCAGATTTTCTCCGGTTTTGTATTTTCAAATTCTAGCGATCTCGAGCCGGTTTCTCAAAATTACCTACCCCACCTTTAAATAACTTTAGATGAGGCAGATAACTTTACATGTTTCCTCCATATTATACTTATGATCTCTGCTTGACTTTAAAGTATTTTCTAATGGTTTTAACAACGTTTCTGATGAGTTTTAGAGGTTGTTATACAGGAGTTTAAGTTTTAATTGAGTATTTGGGAGTTTATTTCACTAGCTTTTCACTGTTGTAGAGACGCTACATACTGATATACACCTGAACATCAGCAGGAGAGGACTCTTTAAAGTAGAGACACTACATACTGATATACACCTGAACATCAGCAGGAGAGGACTCTTTAAAGTAGAGACACTACATACTGATATACACCTGAACATCAGCAGGAGAGGACTCTTTAAAGTAGAGACACTACATACTGATATACACCTGAACATCAGCAGGAGAGGACTCTTTAAAGTAGAGACACTACATACTGATATACACCTGAACATCAGCAGGAGAGGACTCTTTAAAGTAGAGACACTACATACTGATATACACCTGAACATCAGCAGGAGAGGACTCTTTAAAGTAGAGACACTACATACTGATATACACCTGAACATCAGCAGGAGAGGACTCTTTAAAGTAGAGACACTACATACTGATATACACCTGAACATCAGCAGGAGAGGACTCTTTAAAGTAGAGACACTACATACTGATATACACCTGAACATCAGCAGGAGAGGACTCTTTAAAGTAGAGACACTACACACTGAT